ATAGATCCCACAAGTTTTTGATCCATTCGAAAAGTAATTTTGAGAACCGAATTGAAACGTATATTTGTCACGTCTACCCTTTAAACAATATCATTCGTTCCCTTTTAATATATATCTTCAAAGAAACTGACACCACTGAAGGAAGTCGAATGGCACATCATCAATCTCTTTTGAACCAAACACTGACTAATGAAATTGCAAACTATCACAACAATTTGCTGTTCACTCAAACTTATCAAATGTGCCTCGCCGTGAGTTTCTATTCAAGGAATTTATCTTTCCAAAAGCATGAAATCTAAAGCGGCGAGAGGGACTTCGTCCGCACATGTGGGCCGATGTTTATAAACGCTGAAGGATATTCTTCTGGCTCAGCAGTGCAGACTTTAAGTTACAAAAAACGTTTTTGATACATAAAAAAATCAAACATTCATTTTTAACATAAAAAAGAACGACCACATCATTCGTACATAATTAAACTCCCATATTGTCTTCGCATAAACAAACTGCGCCTGCACCTCTTTTGCTCGCTTCGAAGCAATGGTTACGACTCACTCAGCTGATCAAACATCACATCCCAAAGAAACATTCATAACCAGCCTTCTGTCCACCTCTTTTGCTCACTTCGAAGCAAAGGTTGTGACTTAATCAGCTGATCGACCATAACATTCTAAACAAACATTCTTGAGAAGGCTTCTGTTCACCTCTTTTGTTCACTTCGAGGAAAAGGTCGCGACTCAATCACCTGATCGAACATCACATGCCAAACGAACATTTATCAACATATTTCTGTTTACCTCTTTTGCTCACTTCAAAGCAAAGGTTGCGACTCAGTCACCTGATCGAACATCACATACCAAATGAACATTTCTAACAAGACTTCTGTTCACCTCTTTTGCTCACTTCGAAGTAAAGGTTGCGACTCAGTCACCTAATCGAACATCACATGCCAAACGAACATTCATCAACATACTTTTGTTCACATCTTTTGCTCACTTCAAAGCAAAGATTGCGACTCAGTCAGCTGATCGAACATCACATGCCAAACGAACATTCATAATGATACTTCTGTTCACCTTTTTTGCTCACTTCAAAGCAAAGTTTGTGACTCAGTCAGCTGATCAAACACCACATGCCAAACGAACATTATTCATAAAACTTCTGTTCATCTCTTTTGCTCACTTCAAAGTAAAGGTTCTGACTCAGTCAGCTGATCGAACATTACATACGAAACGAACATTCATCAAGATACTTCTGTTCACGGCTTTTGCTCACTTCGAAGCAGAGGTTCCGACTTAGTCAGCTGATCGAACATCAAATGCCAAACGAGCATTCCTAAGAAGACTTCGATTCACCCCTTTTTCTCACTTCGAAGCAAAGGTTGCGACTCAGTTAGCTCATCGAACATCACATGCTAAGCGAACATTCATAACCAGACTTTTGTTCACCTCTTTTGCTCACTTCGAAGCAAAGGTTGCGATTCAGTCAGCTGATCGAATATCACATGCCAAACGAACATTCCTAAGAAGACTTTTGTTCACCTGTTTTATTCCTTTCGAAGCAAACGTTGTGACTCAGTCAGGTGATCAAGTATCACATGGCAAACGAACATTCATCAAGACACTTCTGTTCACCCCTTTTGTTCACTTCGAAATAAAGATTGTGACTCAGTCAGTTGATCAAACATCACATGGCAAAGGATGCCTAATAAGTACATGTTGCTCCAACCAGCCATTTATTATTTACAGTAGTCTTAAAACAGAATTTTCGCTACAAACACCAATACGTATTTCAAGTGACAAATGGATGAGTATGAGCAATATCATCTTCGTTTACTTTCATCAACTTGAAACAAATATTGGGACATCTGTAGTTAATCTGTCATCACATATCAAATGCATCACCCTAACGAAAATTCGATTCATTTATGTCATCCATTTTAAGCTGAGAGAGGTACATTTATCGTAGTTCATCCATTATGACATGTCTAATGAATGGTAATAACGCTTGAAACGTTCCCAATGGTTCTGTTCATCTATTTTTTCATCTCACTTTTGAAGTTTGAATCAAAGCTTGTGAATCGATCTGTTAATCAATGAGCACGTAATAAATGAAGGGTTTGTATAGTTAGAGTTTCATTCACGTATTTCCCATCGCTCACATAAAAGATGATGCACTGTTGAGCCGATAAAAGATCATACGCTAATTGATTTATTCTTATCAATGTTATATTCATTTATTTCTCTCATTTTAAAATGATCACTCAGCATCGCTGATATGAATCGACGATCATATAACTAATGAATATGCATCATCAGAATTCTGTCCACTTAACTTATCCGTTTTGAACTAAAGTATCCAAACTATGCTTGATCCAAAAACATCTCATGGTATACCAACCTATTTTTTGTAACGAATTTATTCAACTACTTGGGTGCTTTTCTAAATATATACTGCGAATTAGTATGTTGGTCGAAGATGACAAAGTTTATAGATCAACATAACGCATCCAATCATTATCTTTCCAATTATTCTGTTCAATAATACTTCATATATCAAAACAAAACTTGACGACTAAGCTTGTTTTAAGGATAGCACGGTGAATGAATGATAATAACTTCTGAAATGATGGTGTTCACCAATGTCATTCACTTTGCAATCAAGATTGCTAATTACTAAGAAGATGAAAGTCTAAGTGGAATAGGAATTGTCCCTATTGCATTTGGGTTCTTCACCTACTTTTCTTCTTTCGTTATAGTTTTCGATTAATAAAAGTGTTCAACCATCTCGCCACAAATGAATTGTCATAATCCATTGTCGACTTGCAGCATGAGCTTGTTTATCTACTTTATGCGCATAAAAGCAAAAATTCAAGAAAGATAAACTTATTAAGAGTTATCTATGAGATGAATCATCGCCATCACCAGTAGATTCTGTGGGCTTATTTTATTAACATTATAGTTATCGGCTCGATTTGACACCTAATCGATGCTCGCCTACTAAATGAATGATTTAAATAGTACCAACGACCGTATTTATCTATACCATTCACTTCAAATCAAAGCTACCAAGTTACTAAATATAAAGCAAAGGGTATGTCAAATGACTTAGTCGAATCAGTATTCTGTTCACTTATGTTCTCCTTACTTCAGAGCTCAGATTTGCAGTTCACTGATATATTCACGGCCCTATGAAAGAAGAATGATCACAACGGCACTTGTGACATTTTGCGCAAGCATTTGATCCCAAAATCATGTTCATTAGGAAAGAAATCGTTTAAGTTCGTCTAATGATTGATATTTTCTGACCGCTGAATAATTATTATGACGATGGTGTTCGTTTATCTTCGTTCTTAAAAAGCGAATTAAGACGTTCCTAAATGGACTACAATTCATATAAGTAATGACTAAATAGAACGACCCTTACAAACTATTCTTTCATCTACTTTCACCTGTTCGGTGTTAATGCCTGAACATATTCTGTTAACTAATAGTTACATGAGAAATGAATAATAATGAAATAGTTCCTTGCAAGTGCCAGGTGCGGCGAATTCTTGATTTTCTAAATGAAAATTGAAAATGTTTAACCTAATGTAATGCAAAGCCTGATGGCACATTTTCTATGAAGCATGATTGACAAATATACTAGAAGTATATAGAAAGAAAAATGTATGCCTCTCACTGTAGTGTACAGGCTCATACATATGAAACCAAACATCTGTCTCCAGACATCGAAGATTCTAGATCTTTAAAAAAATGGGAAAGTGAGAAACTCCACGCTTATTTGTTGGCATATGATTTTGCCATGCACATAATACAATACTAATGGCAGACATCTGGATATACTACTCTTATAGCCCATTCATAGGACATAACTTGCACGGTGTAGGTTCCCAATTATGATAAAATAATTTCACCGTGTTTTATATTAAAAATCATGTAAGGATGGCATTGAAAATGGTTTTTTATCTTGAAGAATCAAGTCTTCTTTACACACAAAGTCACGAGAATATTTTCATGTTCTTTGTATTGTTTTCGACATGCAGCTACTGTGAGTATTGTCAACCTCTTTTAGTTTGGCCCTTAAGATACAGGTATGCATGCATGAGTGGTTCAATTATGCAACTACTAGATTTTAGATTCAGATAGTATGAGATTTCTATCCACCTGAAATCAGTTGCTTGAAAACATCATGTCAGTCAATGCCCTGAATATTGCAATGAAATAGTTTACACGATGGAAAACAAATGATAGGAATAGGTATGAAACAAGGGTTTGAAAGTGGTACAGTTTTTATAATGTAATCGTCGCTCGGGTATTAACTTCGACCAGAAAATCATCGTTTAGCCTCATATGGTACAATAAAACACTTAAATTGATTTTTGTGAAATTTAACGTTCGATTATGGTTACAAAAGTTTCATGCGTTGTATTAGCATTTTAAAAAGGAAAAATACATGAACAAATTTAAATGTAAACTGATTTATATTCTGATAGAATTAATAAATTGTATCAAAATTGATCGCAGAAAAAAGTCTATTTGTTTTTTAATACAAAATATTAATTAAAAAAATAAGAAGAGATAAAGATTTTGACACTCATATCGAAAGAGATCATGCGATTTTCATACGAAACAGAATTGACTAGCAAAGTTTACTTTACAACTATGAAAAACTTTATACGGTAAAGATTTCTATCAATAGAAACAGAGTCATACGTGATCTTAGACAGGGCAATGAAACCATCGATCGATATAACCAATGAATGAATTGTAATAAAATTTAGTGTTAACGAGAGTCTATAATGGAAGCATTATTCAACAATCGATTGCTAACAGGGAAACACTACATACAGACTTATCTATTCAGTATTATTTTAAAATTTTCCCTCAGTCATTGGTTTGATTTGTTTAGGTAAAAACTACTGTGAACATCAACTGTTGAGTCTTATTTTGACAATGACTTGTTTTTATTAACATACTTGATGTTGCATGATGTGTTATAGTTTTGTGCATTGCCATTGGTTTTGGTACAGTTGAATTACTTGAACCGATTTTGACGCTGTCTAATTTTGGTTGCACTGATGAAACAGCAATTGTTTCAGGTTGTGTTTTAATACCAATATCTATTAGATAATAATTGTAGAAAAATTAATATGCAGTGAGAGTTTTCCACACATATTTCATTAAATGATCAGAAAGATCCTGTGTTTTAGATACGGGAAAAAATCAGTCAGGCTGAACAAGTTTACTTTTACAGCATTTTATTTCATATTTTTCAATCAAATATCTCACTTTGCTTCTTGATCGTTTAAATTTGGTACATATTCTATTAAATATCAAATCAATATACAGAATGACTCTCATACCATCAAGCAATGAATACAGATAAAAAACAACTATTCCCCATTCTCATTTCATTATCCAATCGCTTTCTTTCATTTATTATTATTTTCGGGTAAGTTATGCTCATATTATTGTCAACAATAATATTCTTTGCAAAATCACTTCTATCAATTTAGCAATTGATAGAAGTTTTTTAATGCAAGTTGAAATGTTTGTAGTTTTCTTTTAATAGCACCACTTGAAATTGGCATCGTGTAGGATCTTCAGAGTATTCAATTGATTCTTGGGAAATTTCTTGGAGTTTGGTATCGTATCATAAAATCTGATTTCAAACAGTGGGTGTCTATGATAGTGAGTGCGAGTATTTCAGGATATTTAATTCGTTCTCATGCATATTCTCATCCCTAATCAATATTATAGTTGAGAATGCCGTCACTCTGGACACTGTTCTATTCTTTACTGCCATCTAGACTACTAATGCATGTTTCATACATACTATTCATTTCTACATGATGCATTATAGAATTCTAGCAAGTTGCTATATTGAAAATACTGTGTGGAACCAGTTTAACTTGAAAACTTTCAGAAAAACGAAAAGAGTGATGGTTTCAAAAACTACATAATATAATCGATTCGAAGATGGGATTGAATAGTTTATGTTTCTAACTTCTTTGATAATGTAAGTTTTTATAAACATGTTGAACTCTTGAAAAATTAACTTAGAAATGCACTTTACTGACATAATTATAAATGAATGTACTGTCTCTTATGGAATTCCCTATGCAAAGCAATCCTTTTCAAGAGAATATTTCTGCCTAACTACATAGAGCAACGAAGAAATATTTAAAAATAGGTCTACAATCACTTGGCTAATTCGAAATCGTATTATTTATTTACTCAACAATTTATTGATCACATTTTTCTTCATTTTTCTCGACTTTTGATCGGATTATATTGCTTTCCTCTCACAAATGTCTTGCAAATTTGGATGATGATTACTGAACATACTGCTGCATTTAAGACTAAACCTGTGTAAAATATACACGAACTATTTCATTCAGCTAATTTGACTTGATTTTCCAAAGACGACGATAAAAGTGAATTGGGGCATGCCTTTTCTTGGTTGCTACTGAAATTGACACATGTATAAACATGCGCCATTTTTTTTCACTAATAATAGCATCAGGGCTGACCCGACTGAGGTTGTTGGGATCGTGACAACCCCCCAACCTTCAAAATTTTCCATTTTTCCCCGAGAAAATCCAACAATAGTCCTGTGTTCTGTTAGGAAAAACGATGTTACACCCCCTACAAAACCAATCACAACCCCCCAAAATTTCGGTACAACCCTCCAATGTTGGCTGACTCGGGCTAACCCTGAATAGCATGACTTTCCTTTCAGATATCCTAAAGATGAATGCATTCGATTTAGAATCTTCTCTAGCACTTTTCATTTCAAGACTATCAGTTGTCGACATTCTCTTCTTCACATTGAGTTTCAGCTGAAAGATACTTATTTTCAGGTTTAACTTATATAGCCATCCATGATTAAAATAAGGTTGTGAATGCGAGTGAAAGAAGAAATATGCACAAAAGAGAGAAAAATCAAAACAGGGAGCAAACAATAGAGAAAAAAAGAAGGACCATATATCCTTGTTCATAAATAGAGATTCAAAATCGGGTGGAGTAAATGATGAGGCAACGTAGAAGTGCAAACAAGTAAAGTAGAGAAGAAAGAGAATAGAAAAGGTTGCACGTATGTAAAAGACATATGCCTGTATCAACTATTCCTGAATTTGATATCATATTACTTAGAATACTACTGATTTGCTACCGTTCTAATTGTTGTTTATATTGTGTGGATTCCGATAGGAATTCGACAACACTTATGAAACTGAAAAATCAAAAATTTTTCATGAATATCATGATTTTTATCTTGAAAGTACAAGAAAAAGACATCTCGAATAGTGAGATGCGCATAAAAAATGATGTATTACAATTTCATTGATGAGAATGGAGCTCTTGATCAAGCAAATGTAATTAATTTGAGTTTTTATCAAAATTAAGGAGTTAAATTGATAAAAATGTTTGTTTTAATTAATGAACTTGAAATACATCAATTTTTATATTTGTTTCATCATTTTCATTTCTTTGAAATTATTTTTCGCTCCTACGTAAAAAACATAGCAATAATTAATGTTGTTGTAATTCTCAAAGAAATTCGCTAATTGTGAAAATTTCACAATATTGTCCAAATTTAGATAGCGAAATTCTAGCTGAAAAAATTTCAGTTGACTATGTCGAATAATTCCTTATCTATATAACATTTTACAACGAACTTTATCGAAAAATTTTTCTCGAAAAGTCACGTTCATAACTTGAGTAATCTATCAATAGTTTTTCATCTAATTCTTACAATTTTAAAATTTATGATGTAGAACGTAATATAAATTTTTTTCTTACTCTGCGATGATGCCTTTGGATGAGAGTCACTTGTAACCGGTTGTAAAAGAGAAATTGGAGATTGAGTTTCCTTGAGTTGAATCATATTAAGACCGGCTGCTGGTTGTAAACAAGATATTACTTCAAACTGTCGAGCAGGAAGAAGAAGAATTTCGTCTTCCGATTGGAAATAAGAATGGCGACTAATATCTTTACCACTTTCACAATCAATGCTAAACATTGTTCGGTCACCAGTTTTGCCCAAAAATTGTTCATTTTCGAGCACTCCCATTTTTGAAGCACATGAAGAAAATCCCCACCAAACAAAGGTTTTTCCTAGTGGATATTGTTGAATTAAATTCATTTTCACTCCACGATAAACAGACTGTCTCGTGGAGGGTAATTGTTTGAGTGCTGTGAGAATAAGTTTTAAATATGAAAACCATGGTTTTAGTTTTCGTCTGTCTTCAGCACGAAGTGTTGCGTTTAAAGCAAAATATAAACATTCTTCATGCGGCTCCCATTCCATTGTATATAGTATAATTGAAGCCGATTGATCTTGTGTTAAACCATTGGCAGGTACAGGTTTACATCTTTGTTTGGCAACAAAAGCATAATCTTTAACTTCGGGCAATATCGACATAAGCGGTGTAACTGTCTCTTCCAGTGACACTAACGGCATTTTTTCATATCCCCGAATTGGCATAAGCATCGTTTGTGGTTCATTTGCAATGTCAGAAACCCGTATATATTGCTGTGTATTGATATATCCACCTGTAGCCATATTTTAATATAAAAAACTTGTTAAATAATAGACAAATAATATATAATCTAGAAATAAAATAAAGAATGCTTTTCAAAAAAACATTAGAGTCATAACTGACTAATGCCATTTAGTTAATTCAAACTTTTATATAGCTTAATTAGTAGTTTACTATATCTACGCACTGCAGTTTTTATTCTAACTGATGCGACATCAGCAAGGTTTCTTCCTTCAAATAACTTTTTCAAGAAGAAAGATTTATGAAACATCAGTCTCAACAAAATACTTTTACTTCCCAATTAGCAGCATTTTTCATAGTTATCTGACAAAAGCTGGCTATACATTTTTCGCCTTGGGGTACGTATTTTTTGTCAGGCAAAGTTGAGATTCAGGCAAAACTAAACAAAGTTTTTAACAAATTTAAAAATCGAATAAGATGAGAATAAAGAACTGATCTGATATATTTATATTAAGTTATGCTCAGCTTGAATTGAAATCTAACTAAACTTAGGACATTGTAGAGTTTGCAAATGTGTTCGATTGAAATCTCGTTTGTCTCGGTATGTTCCAACCAAGAAAAAAAAGAAAAAATCTTTAAGCTTATGTTATTTGAGTAGTATTTTTATCAATGATTAATTGCGTTCGATTTTAACGTGATTCGTCTATGATATGTTAAGTATATAAATATATTATGCTATTAAGTTTTCTTGAGTTATTATCTAATCAAAAAAAATGAAGGATTGTTTAGCTTATGTATTCCCTGAGGTCGAATAATAACGGCTTTCTCTTGGAATTGAATACTTCAGAAATTCAAAATGTTAGTTTACTTATTCAGAAAAATACTCTCGAAAATTATTTTCCATTATCGACCTAGAAGAAGTCATTCGTGCATACATTACAATATGAATAAATGAAAATAAGGACTGTGTCTAGCAAGAAAAAAAACAAGTATGTGCTATATTTTCTTAATGCAAACGAAAATTAGAACCTATTTAAAAAAAAAAAGAAAATTCTATCATCGTTTTGCATCTAATTAAAAACAAATTCTAGCTAAGTTTAATTTTGCCTGTGACATATAGTGTCAGGCAAAATTGAGATCTAGGCAAAATTAAACTAAGTTTGAAAGACTTGTTATTTTAACAGAATTTTTAAAAAAATTAAAGAAAACTTGTTTATTTTTGTAACTATAGAATTTGACAGAACGTAGAGTTCGTAAATTGTATTCCATACAAATTAAACTAAGTCTAGGAAGATGTAGAGTTCGCGAGTAGTATTACATACAAATTGAACGAAGATCAGGAAGATGTAGAGGGCGCGAGTTATATTCAATAAAAATTAAACTAAGTCTAGGAAGATGTAGAGTTCGCGAGTTGTATTCAATCCAAATTGAACTAAGCTTAGGAAGATGTAGAGTTCGCGAGTTGTATTCAATGCAAATTAAACTAAGCTTAGGAAGATGTAGAGTTCGCAAGCTGTATTAAGTGCAAATTAATCTAAGTTTAGGAAGATGTGGAGTGCGCGAGTTATATTCAATAGAAATTAAACTAAGCTTGGGAAGATGTAGAGTTCGCTAATATATTCCACTGACATTGAGCTGATCGTAACCAGCCCGACCAAAAAAAAAAGAAAAAAAGAAAGGATGTTCTTTATAATCAGGCATCAATTCTCATCGATACCTAACTGCTTCCCTTCGACTACAGTACGGTTCATAGATAATATGCAAACAATATAGATGACGTTATCATGTTTAACCGAGTTCTATCGCATCCAACAAACTAAAGAAAGACTTTAATTTATGTCTTCTCATAATGTAATACCAACGGTATTCACTCGGCAATTAATACTCAATAAATATGTTAGTTTGTTTGTTTTTAAAAATAGTTCATTCTCAAAAGAGATACAATTTTCCCATATGAATAGCTTTAAGTAGCAACGAAGAGAACGATTTTCAGTAGTTGCTTAGTTCTAGTTCTCGGATATGGTGTTTAATGGCTATTCAATCTCGCAGAACTACTTCTACATCTTCATAGCTATTTATATACTTATCACCTATTCCATTCACATTATTGATTTTTTTTTCGAGCAGAGGGTAGTGAAGACGCTTATAGATTGCCACAAATCTGCTAGATAACTATTTCTCTTATCCAAGGTAACGATTATTAGTCGTTAGACTTCACTTGTATGACATCTTCCTGAACTTCTGACCTTCTTTTTTTTGTTTCCTCATGTGTGACTATTTCTAGATTAGTTGAATTTAATAAAGAGAAGACACAGTTTTGATTGTGCAAGACGACATTATGCTAAAAAGACATCAATACTCAATCCTACAGTTCACCACACACACAGTAGGATTTTAAGATATTAATGTAAAAATAATGCAACTAGTTATAAAGTCTTGTTAGCAATTTATTTCACGTTATCGATCGTATATGTCGTTAGGTATTTTTATGATTTGTTTACAAATCTGTGGATAAAAAGGCACTGGAGACGAAGCAGAATCTGGTGTTGGATTACTTCCAAAGAGTATGAATCGGTGAGAAATGAACATAATAAGTTTATTTAATTAAAAAACGAAGTGCATTCTGTTTTCTTAATCAAAATAAAAACTTGAATTCATTTTCATATGAAAGAAAATAATTTCTTCATTTCGCGCCTAACTACAAATCAATTTTGCCTAAGTTTAATTTTGCCTAAAGTTCAATTTTGCCTAGGACATATATATAAGGATATTTCTTTATAATCATCTGTATACTCACCTATATACGCTTTTGAATAATTGGTATTACACTATGCACAATCCTTCTATATATATATATATTTATATATATATGCATGTCTTCTTCCTACTTTCATCGCTATCAGATATGACACATCCTTTTTACAACCAAATATGTACATTTTAGTGGGTTTTTTTGTCGTTTAACTTTTCCTATTCATATATGTAGCTTTTTGCCACAGTATAGTATGTATATTTTTTCTTTTTCTATCACATGGACGAAGCTCGTTTATAACTAAAAAGTATGAGGATACTCCATATACCTCATTATTTAAATAAAGCAATATTATATGTATACTTGTATTTTTTCCTTCTTTTTTTCTTTTGCTAGGTGTCTATGTTGCTTTTATCTTATTTTTGTTTTTGACTAGCACGTGTTGTAGCTTTTAAATGTTTTTTTCTCTTTCGCTTTTCGTCTTTCATCTCTGTTTCTGTCTTTCCAAAATCAATGTCCTTAATTAGTTGAGATTATGGAAGAAGGAATTTCTTTTTTGTAAGGGAAGGCTCCGAAAAGCGAGAAAATACGAATAAAAAAGTATTGATATTTATATTCTGAATAAAGAAGTCTGATAGAATTTTACCTGATTGAAGAACTTTTTAGGATTCTGCAGTTATTTGCAAAACCGTTTTTAGGTTCTACATTTTATGTAGAATCTAAGTCGAACAATATAGTATGTAAACGGTCGTTTGTTGCTAAATTACGATGATTTGGAGTCTGGAAATGACACTCGTATTTTGTCTATCGTATTATGCTACAAAACAATGCTGCATACAACAATCTTTTACGTTGCAACATAAACATATCGTATCCGATCACTGTTTATGTGCCGTATATAAGTCATAGTATTGAAATGCCTTTAACTTCATAATCAGTTACCATGTAATAGTATATGATCGATAGTTGTTGTCGAATTCTATCTGGCACTATCATGCTCCGATGTTCCTAACAATCATTTTGTGGAGACAACGATTTTTTTCTTTTTATTGTCACTTAAAAATTCTATTATTTTTTATTAATGTTGAATCTTGATAAGTTTTTGTGAGTTCCAAGACGGATAAGGAAATGATCAAAACTGTTTCTAAACATCTCAATATGTAAAGTATGAAAATATTTGATTAGTCGCAACCATAATCTATAACAAATCAATTATTTTAACATATCTGTCATGCTTAAACGCTTACAGTTATTGGAATTTTTGCCGTTTTAATGATTGTTTTTAGCGATTAATCTACTATTTTTCACAATTTGAATGATATTGACGAAAAAAAAATTGTAATAATCAACACATATTTCATGTATATGTTTATAGTTAATTGGATTCTTCTCTTGTTAATTAATTATTTAAATTTAAATTATAGATTAGATTGATGTTAAATTAATATTTATTTATTTATTATCTGAAAACGTTTCGAAAGATTTCTTTCTCTTTTCTTCGAGTTCATCTACTTTTACATTTATATTAGATGTAGTTATCACTACATACTTACACATCTGCCCTTTTTTTTTCTAATAGTGAAACGGACGATGAAAATATGTAAGTTGAATTGTCTTCTATTATAGTTTTGTCTCTCCGTCCGTCGTTCCACTATCAGAAAAAAAAATAGACAAACATGTTAGTAGTAATATATACATTAAATCTTAATGTAATGGTAAGCGAAATGGCAAAAAAAAGAAATCCTACGAAAACATTTTCAAATAATAAATGAATATTAATTTAAGACTAATCTAATGTATAATTTAAATATAATCAATCAATTAATTAAAAAAAAAAGAGAATTTTATTAATTATTAATATATGCAATACTGCAAACCGTGTCGGGTGTGGGTGTAGATGTTGATGAAGTGAACACCCATACTCATTATAATTGAACTAAAGTTATCAAAAATAAATTATGAAAAACTGAAAACTAAAGTAGTTATTATTAATATTCTGAATTTTATTTAAATGATTAATTTTTATTGTTTATATATTTGTATTTTTATAAATATTACTTTCGAAATTAAATATGGATTTATTAAATCATTATTTATTGTTGATGAACAAATTCTATTCGATTTCCTATCATTTGTCATCATATCAATCGAATGTAAAACAAATTATGTTTTCATATATTTAATATTTTTCTTTTTTGGCTAAACTATTCGTATATGTATTTGATCATTCTGTATAAGCATGAGCTTCTTTTTTTTTTATTATTACATTCAATTTCAAATAAACATAAAATTCTTTCAATAACTGTATCA